GTTGTATCATCTTTCTTCTGAATGGGCATAAATATGAATCTCTTCCAGTTAGCTGACAGGTAGCTGTCTTCCAAATTTCTTGGCATAAACAAATAAGTGCCTCCAGTGTTTCATCCTCTTGTTGGTATCTCAATGGGCATTCTTTCAATTCCTGAAGACTTGTTTCTCTCCAATCCCTGCAGTGCAGCTTGGACTTCTTCACAATCCAAATGCACCAATTCTTCTTCAATCTTCCTTATTCATCATTCAGGTTTCACATGCATACAAAGCTATTGAAAATACCATGACTTGTGTTAGGCACATCTTAGTCTCCAAAGTGACGTCTTTACTCTCTAACACTTTAAAGAGGCTTGCAGCAGATTTGTCCAGTGCAGTATACTATCTGATTTCTTGAGTGCTGCTTCCATAGGCATTGATTGTGGATAATGAAATCCCTGACAACTTCAATCAGTTTTGATAATTTATCATGATGTTACCTATTGATCCAATTATGAGGATTTTTGTTTTCTTTATGTTGAGGTATAATCCATACAGAAGGCTGTAGTCTTTGATCTTCATCAGTAAATTCTTCAAGTCATCTTCACTTTCAGTATTGTTGTGTTCAGTAAGGTTGTGTAATCTGCATATGACAAGTTGTTAATGAATCTTCCTCCAATCCTGATGTCATGTTCTTCTTCATTTTGTCCAGCTTCTAAGATTATTTGCTCAGCATACAGATTGAGCGAACACTGTGAAAGGATACAACCCTGACACACACCTTTCCTGATAACAAAAACATGTATTGTCTCCTTGTTCTGTTTCAATAGCTGCATCTTGGTCTATGTACTCATTCCTCATGAAAACAGTTAAGTGTTTTAGAATTCCTATTCTTCTTAATGTTATCCACATTTTGTCATGATCCACATAGTCAAATGCCTTTGCATAGTCAATAAAATACAGGTAAACATCTTTCTGGTATTCTTTGCTTTCAGCCAGGACCCATGTGACATCAACAGTGATATTCTCATTCTACATCCTCTTCTGAATCTGACCAATATACTGCTACAACCATATATGAATTATCTTCAGCAAAATTTTACTTCTGTATGATATTACAGATATAGTTTATAATTTTGCATTCTGTTGGATCACATTTTGGGGAACAGGAACAAATACAGATCTCTTTCAATCAGTTGGCCAGGTAGCTGTTTTCCAAATTTCTTGGCATAAATGAGCAAGAACCTCCAGCATTGCATCCATTTGTTGAAACATCTTAGTGGGTACTCTGTTAATTCCTAGAGCTTTGTTTGTGCCAATTCTTTCAGTGCAGCTTGGACTTCTTCCTTCAGTACTGTTGGTTCTTGATGATATGCTAACTCCTGAAATGGTTGAGCATTGACCAATTCTTTTTTGGTACAGTGATTCCATGTATTCCTTCTATGCTCTTGTTATGCTTCCTGTATTGTTCAATATTTTGCCCAAAGAAGACTTCAATATTGCAACTCAAGGCTTGAGGTTTTTTCTTCAGTTTGTTCAGCTTGAGATATGCCTTCCCTTTTGGTTGCCATTATAGTACTTTACTTTGTCTTTTTGAGCCATCCTTTGAAACCTTCTTCTCAGCTCTTTTATTTGATCATTTCTTCCATTCCAGGAGAGTATGAAATGAAAAATATAGAAAGGTAGTCAAGGCTGCATGGAAACAAGTGATCATGATTGCCAATACAAACTAAGCTATATAATGGGAAAATGAGGGAATGAGCTAGGTGAGAGGCAGTGAAAAGATGGTTAAATGAGAAAAAAAAAATAGGGGAGATGGGCAGATAGATCTATCAATATTGGCAAAAATATGATTTCTACGGGTGAATGATATATAACATTGTGGTTCACTGTCCTTGCTCTCTTTTTGCAACATATCTGAAAATATCCCACATAAAAAGTTTTGTTTGTTTTAAAATGGGTAAAATATTTTTTAAATTATTAATGTGGTCAAAGACTTTTGGTGTAAGGGTTCTAGAAGGAGTGAGTTAAAAAGAGAGGGGCTTAAGCCCAGAGTATTGTCTGATGGAAATTGAAGCCTGGAGGGGTTTCAGTCCTAAGTAATAACAGAATCCAAGGTATGACCATGGGACTAAGTGACAGAAATGGTGGAGGACAAGATCATTACAGAAGATGAGGCAAAGGAACCAAGAGGCCAGGGTATTGTAATGATTGTCTCTAGGAGCTCTGGTAGCATAGCACCTAAGGCACTTGACTGATAACCAGAAGGCTGGTGGTTCAAACCCACCAGCCACTCTTCAGAAGGAAGGTCGGGCAATCTACTTCTGTAGAGATATTGCCTGGGCAACCCAAGGAGGAGTCGCTATGAGTTGGGCTGACTCGACGGCACATAACAACAACAACATAGATAATAAAGCACTCTGAATAGTGTTGGAAAACATGACTATGAACCAGCAGCCAAAATCTTCAAACAATGTAGGGGAATGACGATTTGGAATAACCTGATAAACTGGTGGTGATTTCAGAAGAGGAATCTTTTGGAAGTAGCAACAACAGCAAGAAAGATCCCAATGCACCCTACTGCTGCCCTACCAACCTAGAGGAACAGAAAGTGTGTCAGAGAAAACAGCCTCCACTTGAGAGGGCCCAGGGGAAGCAGTGTTCTCAGGAGAGGTCTAGATATTAAGGAAGAAATTGTTCTGTTAAGACTCTAAAGTAGTTGGTTACTGCACCTGAATATTAAATTGTGCTCTTCACCTCCTGGCAGTGAGTGTTGCGTAAAGAAGAGATCATAGGTTACATAGTCCTTTGAATCTGATGAGAGGAGGCACATAATTTCTTCAAAAAACACTATCATATGCTTAAATTCCCAAAATATTTTCTATAAATCTATAATCATGTTTATATCCCTAGAAACTAAAACAATGTATGGTAAAATCAGAGTATAATAAATGATTGTTTAACCAAACTCATTTGACATGGAAGTTTGTAATGAGCAATGTCTTTAAAGGTAATATTGGAAACCAAAGTTTTACCTTAACACCTGATATAGAGTATATTCAGAGATTTCTATCCTTATCTTAGTGTTGGATCTGAGATGGCCTTTTCAATAGCAAAACTGATTATAAAATTAGCTTTTACAGTTCTTTTCCTACAGACATATTGTGCAGTATATTATAAGGCACTGCAATAGGTAATACTTCTTAGTATTCACGTTTATTCTTTCATTTTGAAGAGAAAACCTACCATTTAAAAGCATGCAAAGCTAATTAAAGCTTTTCCACTATTTCATTATCTGAATGTAGTTGCAAATTCTGACTTAAAACCCTTATCAGAGGGAGACTCAACATTTGTCCCTGAACAGCAAATGAACATTCAATTAACACTTCAATACAAGAGTATTTTAAATAAAAATTTACTTTATTGTTAATCTCTTTCTTTACAAATGCAAATACATTTTTAAATCCAAAGAATTCCACCCTTTTAATCTTATATGGGGGGAAAAAAGTCTTTTATTTATTTACAGGGAAGGCCTGAATTTTCTGAAGTTGTTAAGAAGTTAGAAGAATGTCTCTGCAACGTTGAGGTAAGAACTTTAGCTTCAGAAATATGTTCAGAAAAAGTCCTGTAAATCCAAGTTTGTTGGGAAATGTACATGAGATGGTTCTTATGGAAAAAAAGTATTTGTCCAAACTCCATTTATATTTACCCTTCATTAAGTTGCTAGGGTAGAACAGAGTTGGATGCAGCTAAAAGGGTAAAGACAAAATTCAGAGTGATTTGAGCTCTTTCTACAAATTTACATTCAGGCAAATAGAACAGCATGCTTAGCTTAAATAATTAATATATGAAAATTTGAAAGTATGACAAAATATATTTGAAGGTAACTATTTACATCATTTTGTTTGTGTGTATACAAATGTCCCTGCATACAATGAAAGTAAGTTAACATGTCAGGATATTGCCCATTTATATTCAAGAAGAAAGGGAAAAATTATCACCAAAATTAATGCATAAATTAACAGGGAGGTATTGCTTTCACACCACACATATGTTGCATAAAGTGATATATATTGCTAATCAGGCTAATAGAATTTTCTTCCTTAATATCAAGGAGCTGTTGGCTTTAATTTTCTCTATAATTGCCTTAATTTTCTGTACACCTGGTCAGGAGATAGCATTTGAAAACAGGCAAGGGAGCTAAAGCATGAGTAATAATTGAAAAATAATATATTCCCAAATGCCAGATACTACAGGAGGAGGGGGATGGATATGCCTTGTATAGTCTTGTGTAAATCTTCGTAGAAAGGGAAGAGGTAAAAGTGGGGAGCAGGAGCCAGGGATTGCACTGCATAATCCCAAAGTGGAACCACACCCAAAATTTTCTTTCCTTTAAAAGAAAGTCTCTGGAACCTACCTCAAACTAAACTCACTGCCGTCAAGTCGTCTCTGACTCATAGCGACCCCTCCTTGGGTTTCCGAGGCAATATCACTACGGCAATAGATTGCCCAACGTTCCTTCCAAGGAGTGCCTGGTGGGTTTGAACCGCCAGCCTTCTGGTTAGCAGTCAAATGCCATAGGCACTACCCCACTAGAGCTCCTCTGGAACCTGCCTAGGCTATTAGAAATTAGTTTCAGGTCTGCTGGTGTGGCCTGTAGAAGGAAGCTTCGCTCTAGATAGAAAACCTCTGTTTCCTTCACTTCAGTTCTGAAACATATACAAAGTCGAGAGAAGTAGTGGTAGACCGAGAAGAACTTCAGCAACCTCTACCTTGACTAAATCATATGCCAAAGGCTTTGGGTATGGAGGGAAGTCTTTAAGACTTAGGTTCCTAGTAGCTTCTTCCTTTGAACTTTTGTGCTTGACAGGGCAAGGCTACTCATTGTTGTTGTTATATGCCTTGGAGTCAGTCCCCACTCATAGCGACCCCTCCTTCGATTTCCGAGGCAGTATCACTGCGGAAGTACATTGCCCAACCTTCCTTCCCAGGAGTGGCTGGTGGGTTTGAACTGCCAGCCTTCTGGTAAGCAGTCAAGTGCTCTAGGTTACTCATAGTCTGAGTATATATCCAATTAGGTCAGAGGATGGATTCCAGAAACAGGGAAAATTGTGGGACCTGATAAACTTGCTTGTCTTATTATACTGACCAAGCCATTTAGCACAGTCTCTCCCCATTAAGTAAGATGAACACATATAGGCTCTATGCAAAGAGAGTTTACTGGACTGGGTTGTACTGACAGACCAGCGTCAACCTGAAGGGACCTCACTGTTGACTTGAAAAGGATTAATACTGACTTTCCATGATTTGAGGAGGTTTAATGAAAAATGTCTTGGCTACTTTGAAGAGACTCTAAGTTTATATAT